CAAAACATGCAAAGGTTTTTCGTCCTTGGTATGACAATATTTTTATGTTAAAAATTGGCACACAGTCAGACCGATGGAAGTGAGTAACCAGGTTTTTCGTAAAATAATGGGTGATTTTTTTGCTAGTATCTTTTTGGCAACACTGTTTTTGACAGATGATGCGCGAATCGTGTCTTGTGTCATTGTCAGACTTGTTCAGTTTAGTCTATAATTTAGCCATGATTCGACTTACGAACGAACAACGCTTGCAAATTATTGAATTTTACTATCAAAATTCATGCTCGGTTAAGAAAGTGCATCTAGCTTTCTTCCAATTTATGGGCAATTTGGTCGGCCTACTGAGGGAGCTATTCGGAAGCTTGTGACTAAATTTCGAATCCACTTTACATTCTTGGACATTAAACCACCAACACGCAGGCGTAGAATGAGGACTGAAGAAAATATTGCGGCTGTATCCGCCAGTGTTAGTGATGACCGTGAAATGTCGATTCGCCGCCGTTCGCAGAAATTGGACCTCTGTTACTCCACTGCGTGGAAAATTTTGCGGCAGGATTTGGGTGTAAAACCTTATAAGATACAGCTGGTGCAAGAATTGAAGCCACACGACCTCCAACGTTTCCAATTTGGTGAATGGGCGCTGACAAAGAAGATCCACATTTTTATCGAAAAATTGTGTTCAGCGACGAAGCTCAGTTCTGGTTGAACGGGTACGTTAACAAGCAAAATTGCTGCATCTGGAGTGAGGACCAGCCAGAAGCATTGCAAGAGCTACCAATGCATCCCGAAAAAATCACTGTTTGGTGTGGATTATGGGCCGGTGGCATCATCGGGCCGTACTTCTTAAAAGACGACAATGGCCGGAACGTAACTGTGAATGGCTACCGTGCGATGATAACAAACTTTTTTTTGCCCAAAATGGAAGAGCTGGACTTGGCTGACATGTGGTTTCAACAGACGGTGCCACATGCCACACCGCACACGAAACAATGGCCCAATTGAGAGGCGAGTTCGATGCACAGTTTATCTCACGTTTGGGGTCCGTCAATTGGCCGCCAAGATCGTGCGATTTAACTCCGTTGGACTATTTCTTGTGGGGCCATGTTAAGGCTAATGTCTACAGGGATAAACCAGCAACGATTGACGCACTGGAAGCCAATATTGAAGCGTTTATTCGTGAGATACCTGCTGATATATTGGAGAGAGTGTGCCAAAATTGGACCTTGCGCATGGGCCATCTAAAGCGGAGCCGCGGCCAACATTTACATGAAATAATCTTTAAACATTAAATTATATCGACCGTTCTATCGACTCAAATAAAGATTTAATCGTTTTTTCAAATTTTTTATGTTTTTTTTTTAAAAATCAAATCATATACCTCTTAAAAAATCACCCGTTAGAAGTGCATGTCATCTAATACCCAAAAGACGTCATTTCGATTTTGAAATATTTTGCAACTACTGTCGTCAAAAAAATAATAGATAAGATTAGTTTATCACTGCTCTGTATGGCAGCCTATCTCTCACCTTGAGGAATTTTCCTCAATATTGGCATCTTTATTCCTTCGATATTATAATGATTAAGTGTACCTCATCACAACCTGATCATTCATTGATGGAATTTATAAAATGTATATTTAAACTCTAGTTGTGGCCACTGAATTAACGTATTCAAAACTGAAGAATAGAGCGACGGTTCTAGAATTTAATTAAACATATATCTATGATATTTTTTGCTTACTATACTGCATGAGCTGCACCTGGCAACATTGCATTTGTTAGTTGCGACACTGCCATTTCGCCTAAGAACCCCCAACTAATTGATGAACTGCTCAGCTCGCTTGATTAGCACTTAAACAACGGGAAAATCCCGGTTTGCCATGAGGCTGCACTGGAGATTACATTAGAGCGAGTCGAGCTTTATATGAGAGAGCACATACATACATCGTCAGTTTAGTGTACTCTATAATATATATGTATGTTTCATGTATACACGTAAGTGTATATAGTCAAGGACTTTGCATTTTGCGGAATTGTAGCCTCAGGGAACTTGTTCAGGACGATCCGAAACCGCTTAATTGCCTGAACGAACACAAAGTTTAACAGGCAACAATAGTGGGACACTAGTGGACACCTTAAGCGATGTCGGGAAACTTCTCAGAATTGCCAACTGCCCTAATAAGTCCTAATACCATAAACTATTTATTCATTTACGGTTTTCCATTACACTTTCGTGTACATTGATAGCCGACCCTAGAAGGCTGAGCGTCGATTGAGGTTTGATTTTAATTAAACAATAATACACTGCCGCGCAAAATTAACCGAACAAACAAAATTTTGTTCAAATTAAATTTTAACCTTTGCATCAATTTAAAATTTTCAAGAGTATCAACATTTCCAATAATCACCCTTAACGTATTAATCCATTTTATTGGCTATTTACGTATTTCAAAAAAGGATGCATCAGCATTTTACCTCCATTCTTCAAGAGGCCACCATATTATGAACAAGGCTCCCATTAATTACCGAAACAAGTCTATTAGCCATCCCCTCACGCCTCCGTCTGACCTTCCAATGCCGAAGAACCGCCCTCGTCCCCCCTCCTAACACCAAACTAATCAAACTGGTCCGAAGGTCGCAGCCGGTGCAGCGGCTAGTGGCCTAAACAGGACCTCTCACGTACTCTCAGTTATTAATAAACCCAATATTGAATTTCGGGATGAAATTCGGGAGTGAGGTGGGAAGGGGGGTTAGAAACGCGACCGGATCTCCTTGCCCGTTCCCTTCAAGGGCTATCAACAAGCAATGAAACGTCTCTCAGTTTGGACACGTCTTGGATCCGATATGAAGTTTTGACTTGGGATGGAACATCACCATAGAAGTTGGTGACGTCTAACTAGATTACAGAAAGTTGTAACCCATCGAGATAGTGTCTAGAAGGGCGTTATTAGAATGTAAATGGCAGGGTGATTACGTGGAAACCATATATAATGTCAGAAAAAAGCGGACAAAACTTCAACTTTCTGACTAGATAGCTCCGAGTATGCAATATCGGTTTTAAATCACAATTTTTATTATTATAGAATCCCTTAGAGATATTTTCTTGACTATTTTTGTCTTCAATATGCCAAATTTCCTTTTCATAAATTAAGAGATTTTCTGCAGTCCCCAAATCAAGTTAAAAATTGCGAATAACACCATAGATCTGATTCCATTCGTTGTCCTATAACCTACATTGTGTTGATGATTCCTGATAAGAATAAAATGCTACCGTATATGCCCCCCTCAAAGGTAGTTGTTCTATGGCTAGTCGGCTTAGCAATTCCAAAGGTAGAGCGTCCAATCTTCAGGTCACGTTTATGCTGGCGACAAGAGAAACCTTTTGTTACTTACCTCTACTTTTCCTGAAACTCAAAAGGTTTTTGCACCAATACTTACTTCAACTCGACAAAAATCTGATTCCTCGATTATCCAGAAGAATTCAAACATGCAAAATTTATGTTTTGTGACGCAGGTTGACTGAAAAAGTTGATGCATCCCAAAAAATAACCATATTTGAAATGTAACTTGAACTAAGCATGTTTCATAATGGTCTTGCTTATAAGCCAAAACAGTTTTGAATATACTCACCTTACACCTTATTTGTCATAAAATGGCTGTCTTTTTATGCCTCTCACCTGAAACAAGAAAAGAGTAGGTATTAGGAAAGTATATTCACATTAGCACTGATTTTATATTAAGAACTTTCACCTATGCCTCAAAAACTAATACTGCATTTGTTAGAGCTTATGAAAGGCACAACAACAATATTGATTGCTTTTATGCATGTTGTTTTTATCATCATTATTTCACCAAAATATAAACTTTTTTAAGCAAATTAAAGTTAATTAAAATGGTTGAAATCAAAATCCAAAGTACTGTTTGGGAAGTAATATACATTAAATATACCTCATTAAAAAACGTGTGTTATGACCGTCGAAATTATGCAACATCATGTACATAATTAATTTAAATAAAGTAAATAGAGTTAATGATTTTAAAGCCTCTGTAACATATAATAAATATGGCTATGCAAACTGTATTTTGATATTTTCAATTTTCTGTTAGTTGTACAGGGTATACGAATATAATCGGGTATCTGTCAATCTATATGAAGTTCATTCATTGGCGAGGAAATATCTCGAAACGTTTTGAAACTTGGATATTATATTTTTTGGATTACATGACATATACATTAGGAAACATCATGTCATTCATTTCCATTGGTTGGTCTGCAATTTCTTGACCCCTCTATAACTCGAAAGGTACCGCTCAGATCTTGATGAAATTCGTACATAAGGAGTTACGAGAATTAACAAAAAGTAAAAATCATTAAAATTTCGATTTTTGACGATTTGGAGGCTCCGGTCCATTTTCAGATTTTTTGGGGTTGATACTTGGCGTTGAGGGACACGTTTTATTATTAAGAAGCTTCTAATCTCAGTGATATTACGCATCTTTCAGATATAGTAGTCACCCAAATGTTTAAAGTTTAAATGATAACGCTGGTAAGTTTAAATCATGCTACAGAGTAACATGTTTACAATCGTTCAAGCACGTCGAAATTATCGTACTCTTTTGTACACAGTGATGTAGGTCCCATGTTCAGGTGGCCTTATTTGTCTATGTAGCCTGTTTGTGACCATTGAAAAGCGGGGGGAAGTGTATCGGCATAACTCCACTTCGACAATTTAAGTGTAAATTGGAGAGCGGGAGGGGGGAGATGTTTGAACACAATTGTTGGATCTATTCAGCACATTTCAACATTTGGCAGTAAAAAGATAAACAAAGCTCAATCGCAAAATTATCGTACATCATTTAGCTATTCTCGTACAAATAGCGTACATCGTACAGTACTTGGGATGATCGTATAAAACTATAATTATCGTACCTCTTGCAACGCTGAGTCTGTCCCATCGGGTTACTAGACCATCTAGCATTGCTCGTCCCTATCTACACACTCACCGGTGGCTGCTAACATGTGTGTTTTAAATAAACATCGCATAATTAACTAAATGACGGAGTTGCATAGGAAATACAGAGCCAACCTGCTTGACAATACTTTTATTGCGGATACAGGTATAACATGCATGTATGTGAACTGCTAATGTTAGAGACTACAGATAATTTTCCTCGCATTTGACGGATGTAGGGTCACATTCTAGGGAGAAGACATGAAACACGTACCATGTCGTACAAGCATTCATTACGTCAAAGCTTCGGTACGATATATCCTAGAACTTCCAAGGACAAACTTTGTGCTCTTCGTTCACAGAAAAAAGCAAAAATTTTTAGAAAATAGTTTTATAATTAATAATAGAGCGCAAAGTAATTTAACATATGTTCCTTCTGAATATTACTGTTTTTTGGTTTAGCATTATATATTTAAGCAATGTTTATACAAGCACTCTGATATGAGGTTTGAGGATGATTCAACAATAAAACAAAAAATACCTATACATCTATTACAGTAAAAGTCCTTCATGACGCCATAGCAACGTCGTGGTCGCCAGAATCCGCAGCCAAGTTAACATCTCCCCTGAGACGCCTCTACAATTCATAATTATTTTCTAGTTAGCGATAATTTAGCGTCTTACTGCAATGAACAACGCTGTCAAAATTCAACAAAATTGATACAAGGATCCTCGAGATATTAATAAAGAGCCAATTTCAAAAAATCTGATACCCCTTTTTGGAAACTGGACGTTTACATGATCTTTTCACCTTAAATATGGTTCAGGAATGCCCCCCCTGTAATTACGGCCTATCATTTAGTAACAACCTGTATGGCAGCCAAAATTTTGACGTCCATCGCCTCTAGTTCCCACCTTAGGGGGCTGTTATAATATTTCAATATGGTAGTTTATAATATAGATTGTTCTAGGTACGTTTTGCTACTACTTAAAAATGTAATTACTAACAAAAATAAACAGAAACTGATAATAAAAAAATATCAGATCAACTTGGTGTACATCAAATACACGGACAGACGGATGCACATCGCTCTCAAATGCCTGAGATGTGGTTTATATTTAAACTTCTCTTTTTAACACTGGAATTCGTTCAAGCAATCTATTCCACGACAAGAAAAAATATACATAGTTTTGAATCCACGTCTAAACATACACTAAAAATAGTTCTCGGTCTTAAAGGATTTATTTGTTTCGCTGATGAATTATAGATAGTCATTTTTAAAACTGTGTGAGCTACAGAAACACCTATACACGTGAGAGTATCATTGGATGTAGATTTATATATCCTCAGCTGGTGTTAAGGAAAGTTTGCTAGGTGGTGGGTTGAATAATCCAAAACTTGAAAATGTGTAAATGAACAAAGATTTTATTTATTTATTTATTTCCACCCATATTTAAACCTCAAGTTTCAAGCGTAAATAAGATAAAAGATACTTTATCATATAAAAATGATATAGGAGAGATCATTGGCTGATACATTCATGATTTACACTTCACTAAGCTTAGGAACACGTACCCTTGTTATGTTTGTCGTATAGAAAAACGACGTATGTACAATGTGGCTAAAGCAAATTAGGGGAGACATCATAAGGGCAATATTGCGATTCAAAGTATAAAAAAGAAAGTAGCTTTTTCTGCAACTACATTAGTAAGGACATCAAAATGTTTGGCGGTTAACTTTACGGCAGTAATGGGCACATTGACATCATGTTAAATACAGCATTGTATACACGTTTACAACTGTAATTGTATACGTCTTGCTATTAACGTAAACAATGTAAGCAAAGTAGAGAATAGTAAATATGAGGTCAATTAGGTTGCCTGCTTATATGCAACGCCATTAAATGTGATTTTTGAATAATTAGAAAACACATTAATACATACATTTGTTATTTGTATATTCATAGTTATAGTTTTCAATGAATTATGAACATTTCTAAAATAAAATAGCATACATTCTGGACCACCGATTTGATCGATTTAATTCAGCGTCTTCAGCATCGTCAATATTTAGATTGAAAGTGGAGTTATCGGTCATTCGTAAGGAGCAATGCTTTTTTGCTACTTCATTGATAAAATTGCGCGGCGAGAGACAAATATTACGATATGACAAAGATTAACTTACAGCTTCTTTTTTACGAAATGTTTTCTGCTGTCTTCGAGCAAAGTGAACCCTAGTTCATCGATTTTCTCATTTTTAGCGCATTTGACCACATTGTTTTTACAGTTGCCGGCTCACTAATGTTTTGACGTTTGCGAACAAATCTAACCTCGCATGTTATTCTATACAGGGTGACTTTGAAGTTGAGTCATTAATTTTCAGATAATGATTGTAGAAGGAAGATAAACCAAAATATGTGTGTAAAAATAAAAAAAATTTTACCTTGTTTTATAAAGTATCCTCCCGACAAGTATTTCAGTGCGGACCTGTATTTGATCGTGAGGTCTTGGAGCACCGGCATGCCGTCCATATGTGAGGTCTTAAGTCAAATGATTCACGAACCCGTTGTACTACATTAACAAAGGCACGAGGGGTTGGTTGCACTCGATTGGGAAACCGATCCGCATAAACATGTGCCATTTTTTATTTCGTTTGAGCCACGCAACAGACACCACTATCCACTACCGACTGACACTGACTGTATACAACTGAATGAAATAATTATTGTAAAAACATCGTTCCAAATTCTTTCGCTTTTTTGTTTCCGATGCGATGAACCGATAAGGCGAATTATATCCGTTGTCGCCAAACACGAGCACATAATATTATTATTGAGACAGGGCGGTACTCAAACTTCCAAAGGGCTATAACTTTGTTACTTTAATTTTACCAGAAAAATGGTAAAGGAAAAAACATTTCTTTTGATCAGATCTACTCACTGTTAAAATAAATGACTCAACTTCGAAGTCACCCTGTATATTTTATATATACACCATTGTATACATAGCATACGTATTGTTTACATTGTGTAAGCATTGTATACACTGTATACACTGTATACGCGTTTTATCCATTGTATAATCACTGCCTTATTCCCGGAAGTGACCTCTTTGGAAATTTCATGTGTATAGTTCGAACTTTTCCTTAGGAAAATGTTTGCTTAGGAAGTAAGGCTCGCCCAGAATTCATTATGAAATTTAGTTGAATACTTCATGGCTTCTTAATCCCCCATAAATGCTTCCTAACAACGATCAACGTTCTGCATGTATGGGCGGCTGCGTTTCTTTTAAACCCTGTAGTATGGTTCTGGAGCGTCAATTTCATAAGCTGATTGGTTTCAATCAGAAAACCATTCTTGACGTCAGCTAGGCAACATTTTGCTGCTTGAGCACCAACACCAACAATACGCTTCACTTATAGGTATATTGACTCTGCACACTTGACTGTTATTAGGAAGGATTGTGGAGGATTGTTAAGCTCAAGAAAATTTGAACAGAAAATCTTAAAAAGCCTTATATTTTTAATACAAAGCCAAAACTGGACAATAACATCGAGTTGTCTGAACAATACCCTTAAAGCCATACTCCCAGACACACTTTGTCTGAAGCCTACTCTCCCAGCACTATACCACGTAACGTAAACCTCCAGATCGCCCAGAATGCGATTATAGGAATTCAACATCCGACCATCAAGCACATTGACACATTCAGACGGATGTTTCGACTGCTTACCGCTGCCCCTTCCTGCAACTGCTAGTGTATTGATCTGATTACCCTCAGCTTAATCAATTTGTATCCTGGCATAGGTACTGGCGGAGCCAAGCAAATGTCAACGTCCCAGATCATCCCTAGTTACAGCTTATGCGGTAGTGTCATTCCTAACACCGTTGGTATAACGTGACGACCAATGAGTTCGAATAGATCAGAAGTAGTCATTCCTATATGTTTACATTACATCGCGTAGTTTTAGTGCATACTTTTGACTCATTTATCTATCAATGTATCGACATAACAATAATACCTGGATGGAAACATCTACCTTCATCACGCTTATGCTGATTTTTGTAAATTATGTAAGAAGTAGCACGTCCTGAAATCGTTTAACACCACGATTATCTGCAAACACTTCCAAAAATAACACTAAAAGTGCTAAATGAATGACAGAACTGAAAGACTGACTTATGTCAAGGGCACTTTGACCCTCACTACAGACTATGAGAACAAGGAGATGAACAAATCATTGACTCACTTCTTCTACCTAGTCTGAGTTCTTTGATCGTAACAGATGTCGCGAGGTATACACTACAGGCTGTCCCAAGAGTGTGGAATGTTAAAATGTGCCTCCTACAAAATTATTAAGTTCTTAAGTTTGAAAAGGTCATCTTGACCATGACCTTCGACGTCATTTGGAGGTCGAGAAAGCTTTCTTAAATGATAACACCTACTCTTAACAATGTTATTCCGAGAAGCGGAAAATTATAAATTCATATGTGTCCTTATACATGTTGGATAAAAACCTAAACTTTAACAGCCATAGTGACTATATTATTAAGAAAATTTCAAAGAAACCATATTTTTTTCAAGAGTTTCTAAACAGCTATCAATGTTAACAAGAATTACGGTTTACAATACAATAATAAAACCTCATTTTCATTACTGTTCATCTTTATTATATTTCTTTAGTAAGAACAAAATAGGCACCTTACAAAAACTTCAAAATAGGGGAATGCGGATAATTTTACAGTGCTCTAAGTACACAAGAATTGAATATATATATGCTGGATACTCTACAGTGGATATCGGCGAATCAACATCTTTATTTAACAACAATGCTATTTATTTATAAAATTGTGAAGGGAACATTACCTAATTATTTAGGTGCTCATCTACGCCCAAATAATGAGATCCATTCATATAACACTAGGACATGTACTCATTTCCATGTAAATAAAACAAATATGAAGAGTACAATGAAAACAATAATGTACAAAGGTCTATGTGAATACAATAAGTTGCCCCAGCTAATAAAAAACGCCGACTCAGTCGGGTATTTCAAGAAAGAACTTAT